TAGGGTAGACTAGGTATAATATAAGAGGGTGACAACGTGACGACACAATAATGTGTGTGTGTAGATAGTGAGTAATTGATCTGCAGTGAAAAAGTATTGTTGAAGTTAACGTTCGTTATAGCGTTTGTTTTAGCGCGAATGTTGAAATCAAGTGTATCGTGAAGTTATATTCCGAAAGAATAAACCAGTTTTATTAAGTAAGGTCTTGTGTCGCTAAAGTTTCGTCGGAACGAAGTTACGGAAAGTTAATTAACAAACGAAGACGTAACAATATACACAAGGTGTATATAATGGGTCCGTATTACACAAGAGTATTGATACAGTTCCTTTATAAAGTTTGAAAACATACACAAGGTGTATGTAATGGGTCTGTAAACCTGGATTGTCTTTCTGGTTATTTTAAGAAACACACACGTACTTGGCAGAAGCAGAGTGAAAAAAGAAATACTTCAGGGAACATTATTTAGCTTAAATCAGCCTAAACAAAAGATAATGTTCCTTGAAAATGAATAGTTTGTTCACATTAATTCTAGTGCATTTCGCTTCAGTTTAAAACAAATATCAGCTACATGTACGTTAAGGTTTTTGTCATTCGCTTTTCTTTATTGTTAGATGTAGTTCGAGTTAACATTTTTACAATTAAGCCCCCTGAGGTTATGAGGCTATCACAAAGTTTGGATCTGTCTGGTTACCCGGCCGTGTATTTATAACCCTGAGGGTTACCGGGGTCCTGTAAGGGGTTGATAACGAGGTAGAAGTTCGGTTTTAAGGAACTTTTTTTATTTTTAAACGTTGAGCCTTCATTGGAGAAACCTCACAGGCATTCGTTTGTTCAATATAAATACTCTGCCTGAACTATCTATTATAGAATATCAATATAATTACAGTTTTTGTATTTCATTGTACTTAGTCAAAGCATTGACATTTGAGTTCATTAGTAGATCTACAAGGATTTCAGTGGTCGATCAGTTCAATATAAATACTCTGCCTGAACTATCTATTATAGAATATCAATATAATTACAGTTTTTGTATTTCATTGTACTTAGTCAAAGCATTGACTTTGAGTTCATTAGTAGATCTACAAGGAGTGATCGACCACTGAAATCCTTGTAGAAATATATTGATGACTATACAATTTGCTAACGCAGCTCAAGTGTAGAGGATGACGTTTCGAAATTTTTCTGCTTTTCGTCTTCAGGTCCTGAATTAAAATATTATGCTTGTTTTCCGCAACCTCAACGATTCATAAAACAACAAAACAAGACGTGTGTGTTATTTCCTGGAATTTATTGACGTTCTTGTTTGGCGTTAAAACAAAGAATATTTACTGAAACCTAAGTTTAACATGACAAAACAGCAACAACAACCTATATATCGACTAAACATTAAGGTGTCATTAGGTTCTCTACCACCAGTGATGTCAGAATTGTGCATAACGAGAGCTTTAGGCTTAGTGTTGGAATGAACGACTTGAGAACTTTAAAGGCTGTAAGTCAATTACAAAAATGAATAGAACCAATACACAGTTGACATTAATCAACGTGTTCCACACCTGATCCGGTCCATTAACGAAGATTACGCTATTGTTGTAATGATTTCTATTGTTGGACAAATTATTTCGGATTACAAATTAAGTCCACTTTATGATAACAAACGCATTTTATATTTTTGACTACTAGTTCTATGAGTTAGCTTAAGTGATGTTCGCTTTTTTTTTGGTAATTTTTGCTTTAAATTACTGGTTTTTGTTTTGAATTTTTGTTAATAATTTTTACATTAAATCACTGGCATTATTTTTACTTTCTGTAGGTAATTTTTGCTTTAAATCAGACTCTGTTTCAACACGAGAATATCCGGAGCGGAGAGGTTCAAGTGACGTACACGACGGAAGACTTAATCAGACATTACAATTGTGGAGACTTAAACGCTGTAATCTTCAACCACGACTCAACTTCCGTGCCAAATCTTGTAAATACATCGCTGCTCTCAAGCGATATATCTATCGCCAAAGCTATCGACGATTATTTTAAGAACGAACTGATATTTAAGCGGAATAAGAGAATGGCCGAGAGAGTTTCTGAATTATTGAACGTGTATCCAGATAAGAGTTTCTTCTTTGCGTTTGGCGCTGGTAAGTTTACTTCTTTTGTAATATCTCTTACTTTTTCTTTTTTTTTCTGTTCAAAGTTTGTCTTCGTTGTTGATCCTGATATTCAAGGTTTGTTAGTTCTTACAACAGCTATACTGTCTTACCGAAAAACCTGTAATGGGATTGTTAATAGTGATGTGCTTAAAGCCACAACGTAGTTTCATTTTGTGACTCGATCTCATATTACTCAAGTGAGAGATGAAACTGGCCACGCCTATCCTCAGATTCACACTTCGGGCACGGTAACGATAGAGCCACGCTCATCCTTGGTTTTACCTTTTAAAGTCACTGTTCCCGTTTATTTGAAAATTGGCTGGATTTACGAATGCCACTATATTGTTTATATAAAAATATTGATACAGTACGTAACATTTATTATACCAATTATTTTGATAATTTTCGCGCTTTTTCATTGCTGGAAGGTCAGTTCAGTTATTGGTGTAAAGTTATGTATCGTAAACCCCTGTTATCCTCATGTTAAGTCAACTTCTATTATGGTGTGATGCGTTTATACATAGTTTTTAAAGTACAAGTGTCTTTGAACAGTTAACATTGCGTTAATATTCAAACACCGAGAAGAAATAATATTTGACCATTCCGCGGCTGTCAAACTTTTAAGCTTTTATTGGGTATTAAAAAGTATTCCAGCCACGTCGGCCCCGTATAGACCCGTTGTCCTTGCCATGATAATTAATTACCAGAGATACTTCACTGAACAAAGTCGGTCAAAAACCTTCTACGTACAAGTAAAGCAGACACTCGTATGAAGAGACGATTTATTTCAAACAATATCACAGAGAGAGAATACGTGAATCGATCTACGTTTTTGTGTTGGGTTACTACCTATTGCCACGTGAACATAAACCACGAGGTTTGTTACTCTCTTGTGTAGGGTTACTAGATGGACATAAACCACGTGGTTTGTTACTCTCTTGTGTAGGGTTACTACATGAACATAAACCACGTGGTTTGTTACTCTCTTGTGTAGGGTTGCTACATGAACATAAACCACGTGGTTTGTTACTCTCTTGTGTAGGGCTGCTACATGAACATAAACCACGTGGTTTGTTACTCTCTTGTGTAGGGTTACTACATGGTTACTATGGTTACTTAGGTGACAGTATCGATCTTTGTCATCCGATTAAAGTATTTTACATAAACGTGACTTGTAATAATAATAAAACAATGAAGATAATAATAACAAACTCGTACATACACGTACAGAACAATGAAGATAATAATAACAAACTCGTACATACACGTACAAAACAATGAAGATCATAATAACAAACTCACACATACACGTACAAAACAATGAAGATCATAATAACAAACTTGTACACGTACAAAACAATGAAGATAATAATAACAAACTCACACATACACGTACAAAACAATGAAGATCATAATAACAAACTCACACATACACGTACAAAACAATGAAGTTCATAATAACAAACTCTTACACGTACAAAACAATGAAGATAATAATAACAAACTCGTACATACACGTACAAAACAATGAAGGTCATATTAACGTCGCTATGTAAACAAACATAAATAGATATTCAGGTCACACGACTCGCAATCTTTGCTGATTTACGTTTGCAAGCTGTTATTTTTTTGTTTAATTTTAAGACATTACTCAATTAAATATACGAGAACCAATGATCGAACCTGATACGTACAGTCATATAGATTCCAGATAGCTATACATCTTTTATATAGTTCGCATCCATCTATATATAATATCACTAGTGTAGCTAATGACAGAGATGACCTGTTCGCAACCCATAATGAACAAGTAGTTCAGTTTGTCGTCCATCTCAGCTGAACTCTTGTTTTCACCAGTTTCATTTCACTGAAGGATCTTTCACCTTCAGCTGAAGTACCTAGGAAATTCATGAGATTTAACAGTGTTTAAGTTAATTCGTTTAAGTCTTGTCGGTAAATTAATATACAATAAACACTTATTACGTTTGGAAAGGCTTAATAAAATAGCATGTATATGATAAATAGCTGCGAATTTTGTTTTTGCCGAACGGTTTTGCTTCGCAGACAATCAGGTGAAATTAAAATCTTGTTTCTTGATTATTGTAGTTTTCAAAATCCTGAACTATAACTGAAACAAATTAATAAATAATAGGGATCGCCCATTTGTTGTTCTTTATTATTTAATATTGTTCCGTCAGCCTACAGCAAAACTGGCAGTGAGTATTATGATAAAACCTGGGCAATATTAAGAAACGCATCATTGCGTATTTTGTAGCAAGTAACAGCGGCTGTTTAACCGTTAACACCCAATCGGATCGGTAATCACGGTGATGGCTGATGGTAAGGGTCGAATTACAGCCAACACTTTTGTATACAAGCATATACATAAATAACATGTGGCATGTTGATTACCATACATCATACATGCAGTATTACTATCAATGATAACAATGGAGCAATCTGCATGAAGCCAATCCAAAGGTTGCCATTTTTTCCCGACTGACGATTATACTCTAACTACGTATTTCATTAAACTGTTTCAAATAATTGTTATTATACAGATTTGTATCCATGATAGGTATAAAACACACTAAAGAAACATTAAATAGGGGAATGAGATCTTCAAATATACAGAAACAAGATAGATAGCTTAAAGTGAAAATACAATCGCACAAAAGTAAACAAACAAACTTAAGGTTTGAGACATAGTGTTGACATTATTTCCCCAAGCTACAAATCTCTATTTTAACTCCATGTCTAAAAGCTGTAATATTTAGGAGAGTCAAAATAGGGATTTTTTATCTTATATATTGTACTGAAACATCTGCCGGTTCAGTTAGTGTCGCGGGCTAAATAAAATGTATAAAAAGATAACTTGGTGTCGTTGTTAAACGCAAAGCTACACAATGTTTAGTGTCGTAAGCCCACAGAGTTACCGCTGAGCCACTATGGGGGTCAAAACGATAATAACAACTGAACAATCTCCTTACTATTCGGTAAAAGTTAAGACTTGCTTATCTACTTCAGTTGGGATCCCTAACTGTAACTAATAAAATTGCCCTTTCATAAAATTTGGATTCAGAGTGAAATTAAATAACACATGTTTTGTTACGTAATGGTTTTAAATTATATAATATTTTAAACTACAGTAGATAACAAAGCCATGTGAAGTTTCAACATGCCACAACATTCTGATAATCATTGTTTCCAACGTGTGAACGTTGCTTCGTCTCTTCTGGCGTGGGAAGCATTTTTGGACAGAATTGTCACCGATGATGAAAAATGGATTCTCTATGCGAATATTAAACGCCAAAAACAATGGCTCAGTCTTAGACAAAAACCACTCCCGACCCCAAAACCTGGACTCCATCCGCAGAAAGTGATGTTTTCCAGTTGGTGGGACATCAAAGGAGTAATTCATTTCGAACTCTTCAATTCACAGCGAACTGTCAATGCAGAGATCTATAGTCGACAACTAGAACGTTTAAATCAAGCCCTTCATCAGAAACGCCCTTCACTCGTCAAGCTGAAAGGTGTTCTTCTCCACGACAATGCACGTCCACATGTGGCACGTTTGACGCAACACAAGATTATAGAGTTGGATTGGGAAGTCCTCCCCCACCCACGATATTCTCCAGATATGGCAACATCAGATTACCATCTTTTTCGTTCGCTGCAACACCATTTTAATGAGGAGACGAATGCAAATGTGGAAGGTGTTAAAGAGGGCATGTGCATGTTTTTTGCTTAATAGCCAAGTGATTTCTTTAATCAGAGCATTAATAACCTGTTTGTAAGATGG